TTTTTTTTGGAGACAGGGTCTTGCTCCGTTGTACAGGCTGGAGTGCAATGGCACGATCTTGGCTCACTGCCCCACTCCCAGCTTCAAGCGATTCTCCTGCCTCAGGGTCCCGAGTAGCTGGGATTACAGACATGTACCACCACGCCCAGCTAATTTTCCTATTTTTAGTAGAGATGGAGTTTCACCATGTTGGCCAGGCTGGTCTGAAACTCCTGACTTCAGGTGATCCACCCACCTTGACCTCCTAAAGTGCTAGGGTTACAGGTGTGAGCCACCGCCCCTCGCCATCTTCATTCTGCTTTCTGTGTTAGCTAGTACTTGTTCCGTTGCAAGGAACAGAGACTCCCTCAAACTGACTTCTGCAAATAAAATGGTTTGTTGTTCTTGTAACAGAAAGGTACAGAAAAAGTCTGGGGCTGGGTGCCAGAATGAAAGGATGCCTGTCTTCTTGCCTCAGTGATTCCATGGTGAAATCTCACTGGGCCAGCTTAGGTCATGTGCTAGGCTGTTGGCATACTGTGATTTGCCAGGCCTGAGCCACATGTCCATACTTGGGCCTGGGTATGGGATCTGCTGCCCTGAATTATAGGGACCGAGAATAGAAGAGGTTGTTTTGCCAAAGTAAAATTGAGATGCTTTTACTACCTGAAGGAAGACTGGATGTGGATGCTGGCCAGGCCCCCAAATAGCAGCTGTCTACTATGATTGTTTACTGAGGAGCAGCATAACTTAAAACATATGCCAACTGAAAATAATTTGTTTTCTCTCTTTCTTCTCACTCCCCCACCCTTCACATGTGGTTGTAGATACATAAATAGAAAAGGCAGTCATTTTCAACTTACTTCAACTTACTTCAAAATATGTTTGAAAGTATTTTCCTTTTTATTCCAGATTATCAAGTCTGATTTTCCAAAAATCCCAAAAGAAATCAATTTAGTAAACCCACGTTTCTCTTGCTTGCGTTCGGTGGGTGCTGGGTATGAAATATTGTCCCTGCCCTAAGGGAATTTGGAATCTCGTGAGGGTAAGTAAACAGTAAAACTAAACAAGTAAACAGGCAGTTCCAGAACAGGGCGACCTGAGGCTAGAGGCAGGAACAGGGTGCAGAGGAAGAGGCAGCCTCCGGGGGCTTCCTGGAGGCAGTGTGGGCACAGTTTGCTGAGACCTGAGCACTGAACAAACATTTACTCTGTTGAAGGGGACTGGGGCAAGAAAGAATGTTCAAGGTGGAGAGAACAGCGAACAAATCCCCGCGGGAATAAACTACCACAGGGGCTGATGCAATCCCTGGACCTGACGAAGGAGAAGGACCGCGTCCTAGAGCACGAATCTTCTGCACCCTAGAAGAAGCAAGTGGCACCTGCTTCTTCTAGGGCGTTTCTCTTTCTTTAAAGATCCTTTGCTCTGTCATTCCCTTCCCCACTGGTCCTGGCTTTTTTCTTTTTTGGGCCCTGAGGCGTCCCTGCGAACCCCACGCACTACCATCCCGTCACAGCTCAGCAGGGTCACAGGGCTGCTCATCTGCCATGGAGGGTGACTCTCCTTCCCCTGCCTACCCCTTCCCAGAGTTGCTGTGGGACACTGCCCGCCTCACAGGTGAGGGAGCGCTCCACACACTGGGATGTCCCCGTCACACTCCACGCAAGGTCCCTCCCCAGGCCAGATGCAGCTGCCGCCTTTTCCTCGAGTGGCCAGCAGATGGTAGCCTCATCCCAAAAATGCGGGGTAGGTCCCACGGGGCTTCCCAGCTGGCCGGATCCACGGAGAGAATTCGCCAGAAAAGTGTTGAATCCTGGAGTCAGAGGACAGGAAATAGAGCCCATTTCCACTCTGTGCAGGGCCCCATCTCATGTGCACCCGTCCCCACCTCCAGCAGCAAAATATGAGAACCATTGGCTCCGAGTAGCAATAAAGCAGATTTTTTGGAAAAATACCATTAGTTTTTTAAACAATATTTTATATATATATATATATATATATATTGAGACAGAGTTTCACTCTTGTTGCCCAGGCTGGAGTGCAATGGCACGATTTTGGCTCACTACAACCTCCACCTCCCCAGTTCAAGTGATTCTCCTGCCTCAACCTCCTGAGTAGCTGGGATTACAGGTGCTGCCACCACACCAGGCTAATTTTTGTATTTTTAGTAGAGATAGGGTTTCACCATGTTGGCCAGGCTGGTCTCGAACTCCTGACCTCAGGTGATCTGCCTGCCTCGGTCTCCCAAAGTGCTGGGATTACAGGCGTGAGCCACTGCGCCCGGCCAATACTGGTAATATTTCATTCCTTAAGCTGAGTGGTGAGTGTATGTGGCTTTGGTTTTTAATAATCCTTTTCAGCTTTTCAGGTTTCAGAAATATTTCATGATAAACATTTAAAAAATTGTTATTTGGTCTTTCAAAAATAGTACTAAAATAATTGTAATTAGAGAATGCAGGGCTTTGCTGTGCTTCGTTATGTTTACTGGATGGTTTGTTATGATTTTATTTTCAATTCTATACTGGTGGAGAGGAGGTCATGGTATTTTTAGTGCTTAGAGGTTCCAGAGGTCTTAATCTATGCACTAGCTGGGGTGATGTTGTCAGAGGCATGTGAACCAGAGCAACTCCATCTTGAAAAGGGGCTGGGTCAAATAAGGCTGAGACCTACTGGGCTGAATTCCCAGACGGTTAGGCATTCAAAGCCACAGGATGAGATTGGAAGTCAGCACAAGATACAGATCACAGAGACCTTGCTGATAAAACAGTTTGCAGTAAAGAAGCCGGCCAAAACCCAACAAAACCAAGATGGCGACGAGAGTGACCTCTGGTCGTCCTCACTGCCACACTCCCACCGGTGCCATGACGGTTTACAAATGCCAAGGCAACATCAAGAAGTGACCCTTTATGGTCTAGAAAAGGGAGGCATGAATAATCCACCCCTTGTTTAGGATATCATCAAGAAATAACCATAAAAAAGGACAACCAGCAGCCCTGGGGCTGCTCTGTCTATGATGTAGCCATTCTTCTATTCCTTTCCTTTCTTAATAAACTTGCTTTCACTTTACTCTATGGATTCACCCTGAATTCTTTCTTGTGTGAGATCCAAGACCCCTCTCTTGGGGTCTGGAATGGGGTCCCCTTCCTGTAACAGTATGGTCCACAGTGACAGCAGCCAGTTGCAAATCAAAGGAGGCCACAGACACACTGGCCTGCCCTGCCCTGCCCTCTGTTTGCAGCTCTGCATGCTATTTTAAGAGAAACTGCTAAATGAGCAGTCTTCCGAGACCAACGTCTATGGTGGCCAGAACACCATGCGGTGCAAGGCAGCAGCAGGAAGAGAAGAAGGCTCAGACTTGTCTTTTGCATCCTGAAGGGCTTCTTCCAGAAAAGTGGCTCCAGAGGGCAACCCCAGCCTGGGAGGCCTGGACCTTCAGGTCACTGGAAAGGTTCCAGGAGGGAGTGGCTTCCTGGAGGGTCAGGGAGCTCCCGGTGGCTGGGAGCATTTTCTGGCTCTGAAAGCTCTCCTGGTGCGAGGTGAGGGGCAGTGTTCTTATCTTCAGGCTGGGAGTGGGTCCCCCAGGCCTGAGTGCTGAGAGGAATTCTGCATAAATCTCTCTGGGGACTGGGACTCTGGAATGCAATGATGGAAATAATACTGTTTGAAAGCAGAAGTTCTCAAACTTGAACTTGACTTTCCAAATTGCCTGGAGGGCAAGACACAGATTGCTAGACCCCAATCTCATATGGTTCCATCCAGTAAGTCTGGGGGGGGGCTTAAGAATTTGCCCTTCTAACAAGGCTCAGAGGTTGCTGATGCTGCTGGTCTCTGGCTCGATCTCTGAGAACCCAGAGGTTAGCTGAGATCACGTGTCCCATAAGATCTAGACAGGAAGGGTCCAGGTCCCTATGTGAATGTGCTCCCCAAAGTTTCTGTGTATCCAGGCACCTCCATTTTCATGACCTCTTTTAACTCCTCCTTCCTGAGCATCCCACTAAGCCATCCATCCTTTCCTTTGCTCCACCGCATTGACCAAGGGGGAGAATTCAGCACTTTTCCTTATTTCCTTTGTATGTGTAGACCACTTTAATAAGATGTGGGGTCAAAAGAATTATTGACAGCAAGTCAACAACTTCCATTTGAATGCCAATCATCTACCTTCGTAAGGAGTCCCTCACCATTCTACTCCCTCTGGCTATGGTTTCTTTCCCGGTTCTCGAATTACTCTCTGTGTTCTCCCTGCCCCCACCTCCCAATTCTTGGACACGCTTTATGCAGAGCAGTTTAGTTCTCCTTTCTGATGCCCTTTCCTGCCAAGCAAGTCATTAGGGTGTCTCCGTCTGCCCCAAGAGACAGATCAAAGCAGTCGCTAAACAAAAACGGTTTCCACCCTCTGAGTCACTCTGGTGCCAGCTGTTAAGATTGTAAAATTTCACTCCATTATCCTAAATGTCCCCTAATCTGTCCCCTGGTATTATTTAGAAAATTCTATGGAATTCAACTGCTTCAGAGTCAAAAGCAATTTAAGAAGTCATCCGTCCAGCTGTTCTTAGCCTGTGGTCCATGGACCTCTTAGCTAGATTCAGGGCATCTATGAGTTTGGATGGAAAAAAATGACATCTTTATTTTTATGAACTGAAATTTGGCATTTTCTTTGATGGAGTGACAACTAGATAGTATTAGCAATATCTGTGACTTTGTTACCAATATAAATTAGCGATATTCTCAAATCTCATTTCAATGATTTCGGATGCCCCAAAATATCACTTACATGCATCAATGCTTTGAAATTATAATAGCCGTTAGACCTTCTGCTAGATCACATTACTTAGTGCATCAATATAGAAGCATATATCTCACAATATTCAGCTGTGTTTTATACATATTATGATAAGCACATTTCTGTATAATTGGTTTTCTTTGCAATTTTATGTACTTTATCTCATGCATAGAAATACTTTTTCTGAGAATATACTAGAATGCCAAAGAGGTCCACGGCACACAAACAATTTTAAAACCTGCAAGTAACTCAGCTCTTTGATTTTCTAGAGGGAACTTGTATCCCAGGCAGAGGAGATACCTTGCCCACAACCACATCACTCACTGGCTTTTAATAGGCTGGCTTAGAATTCGAATCTAAAACAGAAGAGGGGGCTAGGCACAATGACTCATGCCTGTAATCCCAGCACTTTGGGAGACGGCGGTGGACGGATCACCTGAGGTCCAGGGTTGGAGACTAGCCTGGCCAACATGGTGAAACTCTGTCTCTACTAAAAATACAAAAATTAGCCGGACATGGTGGCATGTGCCTGTAATCCTAGCAACTCGGGAAGCTGAGGCAGGAGAATTGCTTGAACCCAGAGGCAGAGGTTGCCATGAGCCGAGATCGAGCCATTGCACTCCAGCCTGGGCAACAAGAGAGAAAATCCGTCTCAAAAATAAAATAAAATAACAGGAGAAGGAAGAAAGCAAGAAGGACAAAGCAAGCAGTAAGGGCTGGGTATAAAGGCCTCACCCCAAAACCTGCCAGCATGGCCTGCTCAGAGCAGGGGGACAGATAGGCTATCCCTTCACGGAAGTTCTGTTTCCAGTGTCTGACAGCCCCTTATGCAGAGCTTGCTATCCATCTCTGAGTAGCATGAGCACAAAACCATGTTTCATCAGAGCAAAGAGGAGTACACTTTGCTGACTTGATATCTGTGTTCCTTGCCAAATCCTTGTTTCCCAAATACCTCATGGTTGGCATTGTGCTCTAGAGAGAACCGTACTGATCTGGAAACTTCTGTTCTGATATGAGGCTCTCAGTCCCTCTCAGTGGCATTCACTGAAATGCTCCCCACCTTCTTTCCCCCCGCACACATCAATATTTTTCACTGACCTGGTGTGTGTTCCTGATTTAGCCTTAGCAGAGCACTTCCTCGTATATAATTGCACATAAATGCAAGCCATAAGATTGTGTACAGTTATTAGAGATGGCTGAGTTTTTGCTCTAAGCTCCTTAACAGCATGCAAAGAAAGAAATAGATTTTTACAAGATTGTTATGGCCCAACCATTTAAATGGAAAATTTAGTTGTTTGCAATTAGCATAGTTTTCCTGATTCTGAGAATGGATTCTTTGATAAGTCTTTCTCCTGTTGGGGGCAGGTTTTAAATTCCTAGGCTCAGCTCTCTGAGCCTAGGGGCTTGCTCAGGTTTTTAAGTTGTAAGCGATGGAACTGAGGCCAGCACTCACATTTTCTGGCTGTGAAATATTTTTGTTTTTTATTAGCGGGCTTGTTCTCTGTTGCATGCCTGTATTTCTGGTTCACTAATCCTATTATTGCTTTACTTACATTTAATTCTTCCACTTACTTTTATTTTAAAAATCCATGCAAGGCCAGGTGCGGTGGCTCAAGCCTGTAATCCCAGCACTTTGGGAGGCCGAGGCGGGTGGATCATGAGGTCAAGAGATCGAGACCATCCTGGTCAACATGGTGAAACCCCGTCTCTACTAAAA